AGAATTGTGTACTATAGAGATAAGCTTGAAAACTTTGATTTACTCTTCATTGTGATCACTATGAAAATTTTTAATAACTTTAGAAGCTTTGATTTACGATAATGACACCTTTGGCACTCTGATTAATTATAATTAACTATAGTAAACTATTATAATAGTTAACTACAGTTCAAAGTAGTTCTGTTAGGTGAGCAACAAGATGCTACAATGTATATGAACAGCTTATAAATTTTGAAAAATCAAATTTTAATATCTTTGTCTTTACTCCAAACTTAATTTTATTGAAAAGAGTTTTCTGCCAAAGCACGGCTAAAACATGTCAAAACTGAGAATTATTTTTAATGAATTTAATCTAATCGTAGATAACGGGAACAAAATTACACAATTCGTTTTTTTTTTGTATAGCCTCAATGAAAACTCCAGAATAAAGATTCAAAAAGATTTCTTCAATCAGTTCCACCAGAAGTGAGCTTTCTAAAAAAAAAAAAAGATAGATTATTTGGTCAATGCCACTTAGGTCGCACTGCATTCAAGATAATTGTATATCAGAGTGTTATTTATTTTCTTCAGTTCAATTGATGTCAGGGCTCTAGATATTTATCACAGGTTAATCTTGTTAAAGTGACCTATAGACCCAAATGTGAACACACGCAATTTTTCGTTATCACCGGATGTTGACTTCATAATGATGGTAAAAGATTGATTTTACATTTCTCCCTCTAATAAATTAATTTATTTATATTAATGCAATAAGTATTTTGATAGCCCAGTTACACATTAAATTGCTTATTTCTTTCCATAATCCTCTCATCACTAGAACACCATATCTTATCCTCCTTAAATGAATAAAAAGTCTGTAAAACAGTTTGTCGTGTGTTGCCACCTTTGTGACGTTTAATAATTTGTTTGAAATTCTCAAAAGTATTATTAACAATGGCATATAATTTTAGCAGACACAAAATATAAATAGGAGAAATAAACCAATTTTGTAAAGGGAGATAATCCAAATTTCCAGTAATTACAACTTAGACTTAACAGAAAAATCATGAAAATGGGTCTGAAAACGCTTAAAATATAGAATTGTAAAATTGAGGCAGAAGTACATTTCCAATATTTAACATAATGTAGGCCTAAATGTCAATTGATCGGAACTGCATGAGTCAGATAAGATATACCGGTACTATGACCACGCATATGAGCATGTTAATACTTAAAAATACATTATATCTCCACTTGCATGCATCAAATACAAAGTCGTATAGGCCAAACGTTAAATGTCAATTGACCAGAATTGCACGAGTCAGATCGTATAAGTACCTTGACCACGCATGTGATCATGTTAATACTTAAAAATACATTGTAATGATTGTATAACCACTTGAATGCATGGAATACAAAGTGTACATCTGATAAAACCAACTTGAAAGTTGTCTAACCTGAGACTTTTTCCAACAGTCACTTTCCGTACTTTCCGTTAAATTACACCCTGTACCTATTACAGTTGATGACAAAATTTATCCCGGAAATATCACAATAAAGAATAGAACCAGTATTGTTCTGAAACAGACCGACATTTCCCGCATGACTGTATTAGCAATCACACCACATTGAGCGACTGCAGAAGCCATTAATCAACTTCTCTGGAACCGCTGCTGGTCAGTAAGGACTAGCAGCCACATAAACAGAACGCTGACATCAGTAATAAATCACCACTTTTGAAGTCGATTTACCTCGTACCGTGTCAAATCCCAAAGTAGGCTGTAGTGCCTTTACCAAAGACAACTACGCATTGTTAATTGTTTTTCAAACAAGCAATAAAACTGAACATGGTGGTCCTAAAATAATCAAAGCAGATTTAATTCACAAAGAAACGCCGTCCAAACACTCAAAATAATACTTTTATATAAAGCATCTATAAGCAATAAACCTAAAATGTAGAACTTGTTTTTTTTTGTTGTTTTTTTTTAATTATTTTTAATTATTAAGCCACAATTCAATATGAGTAACTTAGTATGCATATTTAACGATAAATCTAAGTGCTGATGCACACCAATAAAACCGTGAATCATTGATCAAACAAAACGTGTGCATGATACATGAATGTCAAAAAGGGACAGCGAGTATAGAACGGAATTTAAATAAACAACAAATATACCGCAACAAACAAATTGGTAAACGTTCATTTTCCGAACGATTTCTCAGAAAAAAAAGGATAATTAAGGAACTAAAACGAAAACCCAAGCGGGTACAGACTGGCAAGTACAATGACTGCCCGAGACTTGTACTTAGGCCTTGCCTAGAGTACCGTAAAATTAAACAGTTTTAGTAATCAACTAATACCGTAACAAACAAATTGGCAGACATTTCTCCAACGATTTTCATTCTCAGAAACAAGGATAAATTCAGAACGCATTAATTAAAATGCATTCCTATAAATCAAATAAAATTGATGGAAAAATCGCCAGGGTAAAAGCTGAAACTAAAACGAAAAAACCCAAGCGGGTACAAAATGGCAAGTACAAAAGACTGCCTGAAACTTGTACTTAGGCCTTGCCTAGAGTACCGTAAAATTAAACAGTTTTAGTAATCAACTAATACCGTAACAAACAAATTGGCAGACATTTCTCCAACGATTTTCATTCACAGAAAAAAGGATAAATCCGGAACGCATTAATTAAAATACATTCCTAGATAAATCAAATAAAATCGATGGAAAAATCGCCAGGGTAAAAGCTGAAACTAAAACGAAAAAACCCAAGCGGGTACAAAATGGCAAGTACAAAAGACTGCCTGAAACTTGTACTTAGGCCTTGCCTAGAGTACCGTAAAATTAAACAGTTTTAGTAATCATCTAATACCGTAACAAACAAATTGGCAGACATTTCTCCAACGATTTTCATTCACAGAAAAAAGGATAAATCCGGAACGCATTAATTAAAATACATTCCTAGATAAATCAAATAAAATCGATGGAAAAATCGCCAGGGTAAAAGCTGAAACTAAAACGAAAAAACCCAAGCGGGTACAAAATGGCAAATACAAAAGACTGCCTGAAACTTGTACTTAGGCCTTGCCTAGAGTACCGTAAAATTAAACAAATTTAGTAATCAACTAATACCGTAACAAACAAATTGGCAGACATTTCTCCAACGATTTTCATTCACAGAAAAAAAATAAATCCGGAACGCATTAATTAAAATACATTCCTAGATAAATCAAATAAAATCGATGGAAAAATCGCCAGGGTAAAAGTTGAAACTAAAATGAAAAACCCCAAACGGGTTTAAACTGGCAAGCACATTGAATGCCTGAAACACATACTTAGGTCATGCCTATAGTACTGTAAAAGTCACAAAATTTTTAATAATGAATTTCAACGTAAAGGTTGAAATTAAAGTGAAAAAAGGCAATGATTGGCAAGCCAATATCTGATAAGCAGATTTAATTTTTTTTTTTAATATTACACTGTAATTAAATAATTAATTTATAAAAACTGCCAAATTTAATTTTGTTACATGTACCGTATCCAAATGATTTTGGAGAAAGGATAAAAGTGACAATCTTGTTAAATTTTCTCGAAAATCTATTTTCTCACTGAAATTAACGCTCCCCTTATACTCCTATATAACTGTACATTCCCTTGTTTGTTCAGATGAACTCCGTCGGATACAAATTTCCGACTACAATCTCCGTCCTGGGGAGAAACAAAATAATTCCCGTGTTCCCAAAATACACAATAACCTAGTGATGGCAATGCATCTCTCAGTATTTCATTCACTTTGTCTGCTACATCATTGTACTCGAAATTAACCTTAAATCTTGGCAATAATTTGCAAACAATTATTTTCGCAACATTATAGCGGCGATGCATCACCGATACCATAGTTTCAATTTCTGCGGCCAACAATGTAGGATCTGTACTGGGAACGATGTCGTTCTCCCCGATCATTAGAACAACTACCTCGGGACCTAAAGCAAATACACTCTCCATATCCTTAGATATTATATCACGAACCTTCCTTCCACCCACACCCCTGTACAAAACGGAATGCGTTTTTTCCAGACCAAGATTTGCAGAATATCTAATGTCATCACCATGTTTCAAGAATTCGTGAAAACGACGCACAATTGAATGACCAAGAATGACAACCGAAGTTTTGCCCATTGAAGACATGATAAAATAATTTAACTCACCAAATACTTGATAAAATAAATAACAAACTTGAAAAAACGTCCGTCCTCCAAGGCTGTAGGTGGGAGAAGAGGCAGAGTGACGCACCGCGTGGCCAGAATTTTAATTGCTTGATTTTGATTGGTCAATCTCTGCCTCTCCTAAGACATGAAACAAAATGACCATTATAATACATCACTATACAATATTTCAGACTTGAACATTCAAGGAGGACACTTATTGATTACAATAAAAAATTTTAAGTAAACTTAAATTTATGTAACATCCAGAAGGATCAATTAAACTCCTTACGTCTGTCACTAAGGCCGATGTCCTTCTGTTCTGTTTGGTATTTATTCGTCATCGACATGAAATTAAACGTACTAATGGGCAAAACTGGGTTATATTTTCCTATTTTATTGTCAGTTCTGACTGAAATACAAAGTACATGTATATTCCTTGGCTGTTAAGGCGGTTTTTTTCTGGTTGAAAGTCATGGTGATCGTAAGAAATTAAACGAGGACAAATACAACATCTTGCTTTGAAATAACTGTAATCAAAGTGTGTATCAAGGTTTGCGATGATTTTGATTTTAAAAACACAAACTAATTGAGGAGCTTTTAGACAAAAAAGCAACATGTCGTGCACTAAGTAAATTGTTATAAACTTTTGATACAGGAACCAATTCACTCATATGACTTACATGTATTTTGACCTGAAAGGTGGTTTTAAGCAAATGCATGCACATATTAAAATACATTGCTCAACGATTTAGATGATATGCATTCGTATAAACAAATTTTGAAAACTCGCAATTGTTTCGTTTCAGGAGGATGTTGACCTAAATTAATCTTCTAGACCAAGTCAGCAAGTACTGCGAAGTATGGCATACGTCTACAACTATGAATCCAGCGTTCAAAATATCTCAGAAAACTTATCATTCTCTGCCAGCACTATTAATAAAACGACTGTAGACGACTTTCAATCTTTAACAGAATTCTATAAGAGTTACGCAGGATATCATGGATACATCAGTGTGTTTGTTTGTACTTTCGGAATTATTTCCAACTTAGCGAATATTGTTGTGCTTACACGAAAGAACATGGTTACTTCCGTCAATGTGATACTAACATGGTTAGCTGTCGCAGATACTTTAAAAATGTTGGATTATCTCCCTTTCGTGACGAAGTTCTACATACTTAAAGACCCTAATTTGAAATATTTTCAAACGAGAGACTACAGTGCTATAATCTTCTTGCTGTTTCATGCCAGTTTCAGCCTTGTTTGCCATTCAATAGCCGTGTGGCTAACCATAGCATTAGCGATATTCAGATTTCTATTCATTTGGTTTCCTACCTATGGAACTGTTTGGTGCTCACCATTTCGAGCCAAAATCGTGATATGTAGTGTGTACATTTCCATTATCGTTCTCAGCATACCTAATTATGCAATCAACAGCTATAGCTATGACAATGAAACAGAGTTGTATATGTCTGCTAAATCGGAGTCGCTAAAAGATGAATGGTTTGATGACGCTAACCAGTATATACATTCAATATTATTCAAACTGGTTCCATGTTTCATGTTGACGATTCTTACTCTTTTGTTGATATACGCCATGCATAAGGCCTACATAAAGCGAAAAGAGCTGAAAAGATTTGGGAAAAAGGAAGATGCTGATCGCCATCATGAACACAACCGTACGACAGGCATGCTACTTGCTGTGGTTGTTATGTTCTTGATAACGGAACTTCCGCAAGGGATTCTAACTCTGATTGTAAGTTCCAATCCTGAATGGGAGACGAAGGTCTATAATAAACTCGGGGATGTATTGGATATTGTGGCACTGTGCAATAATTCCGTGAATTTTGTCCTGTACTGTAGTATGAGTAAACAATTCAGAGACACGTTTGTCCGAATTTTCTGTCACTGCTGTCCAAAAGATGGAATGGGTTTTCTTAAGGTTCAACTCAACACAACAGCAAATGGAAACAAAAATTATATGGCGACAATGAATAATGGACACAGCAATAACGCGGCCACGTTTGTTTAAAACCCAAGGCAAATGCAATCAATCATCGTACTGTGTTGTTTCATTACATAGTCACGACTGGATCAAACAAAATATTATAACATTTCATATATGGCAGTATTTCATGATTATTATAACGATTTGTATAGTTTTTAATTTTGTTTGAAAAAAACATGTTTTTAGGGAAAATATTTGAACCAGTTTTCAATACTCCATCTGAACCACTGGGTTGAGTGCGCTGGGTTCTTTCTCCATCAATTGCGAGAGAAGCCCAATTTATTTTCTTGGTGTCATATATAAGTAGCTGTTTTAAAGAACCATAATACTAGTCCAGTGTTTTTTCTAAAAAGTTTATTTCAGAACCTCTGCGTCCGGAAAAAAAAATTCTTAGTATTTGGAAATGGCTTAAAGTGATGGAGGGATGAAATTTAAGGAAGGGTGATACATGTATGGGTTGATGAAAAGTAAGACCAGGAAAGTAAATGGATTCCAAGTCTACAGAAGAAAAGTTACTTTGATGAATTTAAAGAACGAACTACATGAAATTGTTCATTGATTGTTTGATATGATTCTTAAGATCAATGACATATGTACGAGTTTGCTCACATGATGGAAAGAAAGGAGTGCTAGTGTAATCAACAGTGGGTTTTCGAACATATACTGTACAAAGTACTTATGGTACTAAGCAGGGTGGATATTTAAGTGTCTTTTACGTTGTCTATAATTTAGATTTAGGATTACCGCCAAAATGTATAAGATTAAAAATAAAGAAATTGTACATTCATGATTATGCGAATTAAAGAGTTACAGATGTGCTTAATTTTAAACTCATAAAAGACACACAGGATAATGAATATTCATTGACAATATCTGGATATTTCTATTTTCTGTATTGTATTGCAGTTCAACATATAATAGTCAAAGAGATTGCAAAGCATCTGTGATGGGTATACAAGATTATGTCAATTAACTCGCAGATTTGTTTTCCAAATTCTACGTATATAAGAAGAAAATCAAACTGCAAAAGTTTAGAAAAGTGAAGGGTAAAATATAATATTATTTGAGAGCTGTAAACTGTTGTAGCAGCTTCCGTGTTTAGTCAAGCTGAATTATAATGCACATGTTGACTTGCAGTTTAAGACAACTATATGATAAAAAGTTTAGTACTCTTGGATATTGTTCAGAAAATGCATGATCCATCTTGTTTATGTATGACTAAGTCTGCTAAAACTTTGTTTGTAATATTGTTCATTGTTAGCAATTTATAAAGTGGCAATGCACGATAAATACACCTTTAAATAAAAGAATATAAAAAATTAATTGATTATTCAAGATTTTATTATCCCACACTGTTTAATATCACCCCAAAGACAGAAAATGAGACTGACATATGTATTATTCATGTAAGGTAAAAATTTGATATTTCTGAATGCTTTGACTTTGCTGGATAGAGAAGTACATATACGTCTTGCAGCATTGACTTAAAAATGCACTAAGGTAAAAATTTGATATAATCGAATGTTTTAGGATTGATAAGTAGGTCTTGTAGCATTGACACCAAAATTGTATATGTTTAGTAAGGTAAAAATTTGATATTTTTAATGCCTTGACAATACTGGCAAGCTTAGTACATTTTGCAGCACCGATTAAAAATGCTAATCCTTAAACCGTTAAACGAAAGGGACAGCGAGTGGACGTTGGCTAGAATATGTCCTCATAAAGTAAATGTCTCAAGCAACTAGAATTACTGTGCACTTTTTTTTTTATACTAAAATTAGATCAAAGTAATACATGTACTCTTGTTTAGAAAAAGATGCAATTTCTTTTACTAAAAATTTTTCACAAAGAGAAGTATTTCTTTTTTAAAAAATCAATTCAAGGGTACTGTGCAACAATATATTCGAGAAGTGGTGTAAATCAGATGTGGATACTTAAAAATTCCAAGGAACTTTTGGAAAATTTGAAATCACAAGATTTTACCAAAATCAACAGCTTAAAAACTTACGACTTTTCTACTTTATACACAACCATTCCCCACGATAAATTAAAGTCCAGGCTTTTTGATATAATTGACAGCTGCTTTTTCAATAAAAATGGAACTCGTAAATATACTTACCTTGTCATTGGTCATTTGCAAAATTATTTTGTTAAGAAACATTCTGATTGTACACACAAGTACTCTTAAGTTGACATTAAAAAGATGCTTGAGTTTCTGATTGACAATATCTATGTGGTTTTTGGAGACCACAGAGTCTGACACATCTGTTTCATATTTGGATATTTTACTTGAAAAAGACGTTAATGGTAATCTAACAACCAAGCTTTATGATAAACGTGATGACTTTAACTTTTCAATCATCAACTTCCCTTACTTATGCAGCATCACCTGCATACGGGGTATATATCTCTCAGTTGATTTGATACGCAAGAGCATGCTCTACGTATGTACAATTTCGAAAACGAGGTAAATTATTGACAAACAAGAAGATGAAACAAGAATATCAGCTGTCTCGTTTAAAGTCATCATTTCGTAAGTTCTAAGTTGCTCTGCTCCTATTTTGTATTGTTTAATGGACTTTTGAGCTTGAATACTGTTCGTTATCGCCATATATTTCATTCTGATATAATAGCTCTATTTTAGTTAATTAAAAGAAATTCTTTTCTTTTAGAACAAACTGCTATTGTCCATATATTTCAACACTCCAAAACAATGCATTTGTTTCTGGGCATTGATTGGTTACCCTTATCTGGAAGTAATAATGTTAGTATTAAATTTTGTCTATGGAGAAAAAAGGGATACAAAAGATGTGTTCGATTGCTCCTTCTTATCTGATCTGTGATCTAGAATGCCATTTTTATGTACATTTTTAAAGGGAACCCTGGACATGTCAAAATAAAAGTAAATTTGAAAAGAAAAATTATGCCATTATTTATAAGTTGAAAAACATTTATAAATCTTTAAAAATTTTAGTATTTGTTCATTTGAATATTTTTCAAAATAAATTTTAGGCCATTCTCAATGGAACCAAAAACATTGGCGTCTAACCAACACAGCTGACCAATGCCTAGCTACATAGTTGTGATGGGATAATATTTATTAAATTCTCATATCTCATGTTTTCATTTTTATCAATAAATGCAATATTGTTTGACATTGTAAGGGCAAGATAGGTTAAGACCTCTGGTTGTAGGGTGTCTCTAAGAACGACGCAATATAGTTTATCATAAAATATCTTTTTTCACCCCTGTTCCAAATGAGTACTGTTATAAGTGATAGGATATACAGATATCACAGGAAGGTCACAAATGATATCAATTTCCGAATTTTCTCCTTTTTATTCAACTTTTTATCAATTTCAAGGTGCATTTTGTTTGAGAAATCGTAAGGCACAAGCTTGCCTATTTACCAAATTTATATATTTCATGTACCAGCATCAGATGTATCTTTTGTATGAAAATCTCATATTATGAGATGAATATGTTTCCCGATGTGAAAATTATTTCAAATTTGACGAAATTCCATCAAAAGTTAGGAAATTTGGTAAAATGGCCTACTTTGTCACTTTGTGATCACCATGTACGCTCTGAATCAAAATTAGTGCTGGTTTCAAAACAAGCATCATTTAAAGTTCTTAATTGCAAACTATCATAATTTTAACTTTATTTTTATTTGAAATAAGGGGCTAATTCGGTCGGTACTATACCTTGTCCTTTAATTACTTTTTACCCATGTATTACTTTGACTTACTGTCTTCGTGGCGCCCGAGAAAAAAAAGAACTCTAGCTAAGCAAAACATACGTTGACCCTCTGAGCAAAAAAAAAAAAAAAAAAAATGATATGTGAGCTTAGATAATAGAACAGGCCCCGGGATCATGAACAGTCTTAAGCTTAAGTCAAATTTTTCATATTGTGATAAAATGTTGTAGAAGTCAAACAATCACAAAATTAAAATATTGTTGTATATTGCTTCACAAAAGTTTAGTCATCCGCAAAATTAAAGATTAATTCAATAATAAATCAACATTTTACAGGCGATAGAAATTTTGACTTAAGTCTAAGTCTGTTTCATGATCTTGGGGCTAGTTATTAAATGTGTGAAGTAAAAAACTTTATTACTGTAGTGTTTAAGCATTAAATTATACATACATGTAACTGCTTATGCCAAGAAAACTCAATGGTTATTTTGATGTTATTCCTTCTTCCCTTTTTTCTGTTTTAAGAATTTACATACAAACTCGGAATTTTAAAACTTTTAGATGGATCGCCATCTTGTCAATATGATTTTTTCCACTTAATGTAATATCAGATTCATACAAAGTTTTTTTTTTTACCACATAGAAACCACTTACGAGGAATTCAAGGTTCTAACTTATTCCAAATTATGAACAAAAAATTGTTTGCTTTAAATTTCAATTGCTTCCATGTTATCTCTACCAATGACATGTAAGATCCACAATAAAAATGTCTCATACGTTTCCGGGCAGTAGGTACTATCTGTTTTTTTTTTCTCCCACATATGCACGTCATTGCTTTGGTCGTCAATGGCGCTCTTGGGTGAAAGTGTGAAGCCTGGATTTACGCAAATGCACTTAAATAAACTATAACCTCATACGTAACGATGATTTCGTTATTAATTTAGAACCAGAGTTTATCTTGTTCATCATTTACTCAGTAGGAAAAGACAATGACTTTCAATGGGTGAAATGAGCAAGAGAGACAATATTGAATCACGATTTCCAACATCTATAGAGTAATATTTTTTCGCCATCTCTCTCTAGTGATTTTTAAATGAAGAGGAAACTCCCACCAAAGAAATCAAAACAGAGACTCCCGTGGCAATAAAGAACTCATTGAAGCTTTAGATCTTATCAAACAGTTAATAAACTTCATTACATACAAAACTATTAACCAGGTTTTGTTATCAACAATTACATTAAGAGCACGATCTACCGGGAATTGTGAGGGACATATGGGCTCCCATAATCGAGATAGTTACATGAAACAAATATATTCTTGAAAATCTTAATGTGAATACAATACACAATCGATAAGGAAAGCGTGAATTCACGATAAAAGCTATACGTTTCGTGCTTAGTGAAAGTGTTTTGAAATCCATAAAGGAATCTTTTTAAGGAGTAATAAAGTTCTATCAACGAGACGAATCCATTAAGATTCCATTCTAACATTAAGCAGATCCAAATTTTCTTTCTTAATTGAAAAAAAGACTGTATTTTGCTTTATGGTCTCTGTAACTTCACTATAAGAAGGATTGTTATTAGAGATTAATTGATAATATTGACAAACCGGAAGTGTGTCCATTTTGAAAGAAGCAATTCGGATAAAATGTGAGAGAGTTTTGCAAATGCGACATTGTGGTCTTGTGGGCAAAATTTATTAGAGAAAAACGTTTTTATCCGTTAGATGAAAATGAAAGGATGATAAAAAAAGATACTAAACCCCTTGATCTTCTCATGATAAATAAACTCAATAATCGTCAATGTGTATTGGTCAGGATTAACGGAATTTATTACCCTAAAATTTGACCTGTACTTGAACTTGCCTTTAAATTTATAAAATACATTGTACACATGACAAATAGTTATAGATAAGGAAAATGTCTTTTTTGTGGCAAAAATAGATATTCTAAATCGATAAATGTCTATCAGATTAACGATAGAAAAAAGTAATTAAGAGTCTCCAGTATTTCGGGAGGGAATAAATTTTCACTGAACATCACTTTACCTTGAAGAAAATGAAATTTCTTTGTCATATAATATTTTCAGGACACAGTAGACAGTTGATTAATTTTTGATATTCCTGTTAAATTATTAAGTCCTGCACGTACATCATGACAACCTTTGGACATTTTAATTAATATAACAAACTCGGAAAAGGTAAATTCAATTTTGTTGAATAGAATTACATGGATATGAGACAAATTTTTTTTTATGATTTCAATCAGTAAAAAAGGTGCATAGAAAGCATCCCTTTCTGATTAATTCAAACAGTCTAACCAGTTATATTACTTTAGCCTGAAGTCAATTTAAACATGGTTACAATAGAGCGTGATAAATATATTAATGACAGATGGTGTAAGGAAATTCTCCGTTTTGTGAGCTAAGTGCAGAATGGTGTATATCTTGTTAGTCTAAATATATTTCAACCAAATTAAACGCCATCGCCAAAACCAAGCAAATTTACATGTGCAGTAAATGCAATTTATCTTAAACATGAAGACAGGGTAATTTGTTTTGCAGAATTGATTTCTTAAAGTATGAAACTGTATAAAAGATAAACA